GCTTTCGCTCCAAACATTCGTATTGATTAACTGTCTGGGTCCGTTGCAAGCGTAATTGAATTCGAGTTCTGTATGAATCGTTTTCGAATTTGTATATACCAGTAGGAATTCGGAGAAATTAATACGATGCAGCGTTCGACAACCCTTGACACCGGTGGTAGGACCTCTTGGGAGTCCACACGGGTAGGTACCACCACCCCGCCTATTTCCGCCGTGAAGCAGTAATGCGTTTCGGTTCGAAGGGTGGGGTAGTCGTTGTAACTATACTGAGATCTTAGAACTTATATCTCGAGGTGGGTGGCGCATTTACGTTGTAGATGTCTATGGGCTCCAGTAACTACTTAACACCAGGTGGGCTGTGAGCTCGTCCATCCATCTAAGCAATAAAAAAAAATAACCGAAGCTCTGATAACTTTCGGTACTTTCAGTTAGTACAATTGTTGCCGCTAACTCTTCTCAAATGCGATAGCTATTTGACCAATATTATTTTATTATATCCTAGCGTCCCGCCCCCTCTTCGCTTCGGGAACATTTAATTTATTATTGATTAAGAAAATAAGATGGCGGTTATTTCTCCTCCTTGCTTGACTAGAAATTATTGTCGGTACGTTACTTTGATGTGTAAGTTATATTATTGTAAAGTTTCATCAAAATCCGTCCAGTACATTTTGCGTGAAAAAGTAACAAACAGACATCCATACATTCCTACAAACTTTCGCGTTTATAATATTAGTAGTATTAATACTAATTAGTACATATATAAGAAGAACTTACAGAGGAGGTGATGTAGATTGTTTATCAGAAACTGTAGACACCACAACATGAATACTGTTCGCCTCTTTCAAGAGACACATACTTGTATTAATACAATTCGTTGTGACCTAACAGTGTGACGTCCCTATGTCTTTCAAGTGACCACTGAAAACGATATTTTATTTACCTCTAAACTTACAATTATTTTCCGCATTCAGTTATATAATTTCATTAAATAATATTTTCTGTTGTTATTGAGGACCAGCTTAATTAAACTGTGGACCGTATCCGTTTTATTAGGCAACACCTCTCCCTAAACATTTCATAAGCCTTGCAAACGCGAATCCTTATAAGTAGAAGTTACATTTGCGCAGTTCGCCAAAACGTTTATACTGTACAGCAAAATTTATAAAATTTATCGAAAAGCTCTCGATCGAGAAACAAAACACTGTTGTTTGCTCGCGGTTCCGTGACGAAATTATTATTGCCATGCATTTTGATGGTTTCTTCTCCGTTAACTTTAGGGGCGACCTCTAAAGCAACTAATTTTGATTTCATGAAGTCAATTTGTTGATGAACTAACTAGTCGTATAGCAATGTTTTCCAACGAAAGACTTACTAGCAGAATCATAGGGGCAATCAAATTTTCCAAAAAAATTAATACGCATACACTCCTAGTCGTGCTTTTGGTACAAAAAAAAATTAAAAAAGTTAAATCAATCCTATCAACTTTTTTTATTTTGTAAAAAAAACATGTATTATATTATATTTATTAATTATTCGTATAAAAAAAATTGTTTGGACTGATTTAACTCTTATTACTATTGTTCTTAAAATGTGAGCTCTCGACTCAACTAATGTTAAGGAATAACATCAGAGCCCGTATCTAATTAGTAAAAAAAACCTAAAGAAATCATTATTTTTTAATATTCAACTCTTAAAACTAGTTATTAAACTTTGTGTGAACGCAAGTCACTACAATCACACAGACATCCGTAACGTATTTGTACACGTTAAGGCCGTACTAAAATAAAACGCTATGAATGCCAGAATCCAAAAATATATGACGCCCTTTATATTCGTCACATTTATAGCGTAACGACCGCTCAGCATTAATTATTATCAAATTGAATTGTTTTTAGTGCTTAATTTATGTTTCAGTGGCCGCGTTTATGAGGATGCACGACCAAAATCATTAATTAAATCACTTCGATTAGAATCTAGATCGTTGCTATCTAGATTCAGTGTGCGCTGTCATAGTCTATGTTATGGAAATATATAATTTAAATATTTACTGCAATTAAAGACACCGTAAGGTTAATATGTATAACTTTAGGCCGATTCTAACTTTCATTATATCGACTAAGCTTATTCTTTCAGATTATGTTACTTTTAGGTAATAATTGTCATTAAAGCCCAAATATATTTGTGTTAGGGAAAGATAACGTAGCTATAATAATAAATACCGTAAAAATAGAAATAACGCCAACGTACGTAAAGCCAAATGTATAAAAATATTTTTATAAATACCCACGCTACAGGAAAGAAAGATATATTATGTAATACTAAGAAATATTTAATATACATGATTCACAATATATGGGGCGAACGAAAGTATTGATTAACAAGACTAAGTATTACCGGCAGTAATTAAAAGTCATAAGATTTGCAGGGTTTTTTTTTTACATGAACTCTGCCCAGATGTTGCCCCAGACTGCGTATTTTCAGATATTATTATCTCGGCGTAAAAAACGACGATGCTCTTTTGCCTGTCTTTTTTGAATCACTATTCCTCACTAATTCATATTATCGTCTTACAAAAAACGAAAGACCCACAATAAGTCGATTAACTGATCAGATTGTTGGCGCCATAATTTCTATAAAACACAGTGAGGCGTTTATTAAATTTGCAGGCTGTAGACGTTGCTGTGAACGTTTTAATGAAATTGTGCGCGTTAAGTGTCGTAAAATAAAACGTGCTTCCCCTTTATTGAGGAGTCGCTGTTTCGAACACGAGAATATATCATTCATTTTGTTTAAAAATTAGGCTAAGAAAGACAAATCATTGTCGACGTCGCCCAAAACACGCCATTACGAGTCCTCCTGATCCATTAACGGTGCTTTTAGGTACCACAAGCACCGGTCACCGCCCTCGTCGAACCCGTCGCCTGTGACGAAGGGTTCGACGAGCGAATTAACCCATAGACACAGCTCACTAAGTTTCTCGTCAGATCTTCTCAGTGGGTCGCGTTTCCGATCCGGTGGTAGATTCTGCGAAGCGCTGCTCTTGCTAGGGCCAGTGTTAGCAACACTCCGGTTTGAGCCCCGTGAGCTCACCTACATGTTAGGGCGAAACTGAAATAGCTTCTCAAGGCTATCAGCACAGGTAGGAAGAAAAAAAAACAACTCATTATATTTTTCCTTTCTACATTTTCTCGTAAGTAGTTAAACGTTGCGACATTTCGTGTGGTTAGATATTGTTCTAACTATAATGGGATGATATACACTCAATGGTTGGAACAGATCCAGCGGTAACTAGTGTACTATGTCAGAACCATTCACGTAATAACAAATAATACATTAAAAACAGTTTCAATGATGCACTTTTTATACTTATTAATAAAATAAATGCGTTATTGTAATAATTGTTTTAAGTAGGTTTCGAAATTAAAAGGTTCAATTAAATCTGTTTATTAGTTTTACGTGAAATCCAAAAAAACAAAATCAACAAAATGTTGGAAAATGTCGCTTAATCCAAATAACCTTTGACCCCTCGATATGATATAATATACCAATGTACATATTATACATAAACTATACATCGTACTGTATAATTTAAAAAATAGCCCATAGTCCCGTGATTAATATGTGTGTAAATTACGTATGTATCGGAATGTTTTTTCCGTAGTAGTCTCCGATACTACGAGTCTACTATCAATTGTTTACAAATTAACAAATATCATATTATAAAGTGTATTTAGTTACTGACGGTATCCGACGAATATCTGACGTACATACAGACCGGACATTGTCACAGAACCCTAAAAATATAATATAAAATATTTAGTAGAAGCTGTTAAAAGACGTCCGTGCAACGTTGTAAGCTATTGTGTAAGTTCGTTGTTGAAAGTTTATGTGCGACTATGAAATAAAGCGGGTCGTGTTTTAAAATTGATATTGTTTCAATTTTTATGTACTTTTCACGGGATTTCATTGCAATTCATGAGTTTAGTGTGATGTATAAAATTTTAAAAGCGTTCGGCGTTTACGAGTTGAATTCAGTGGCTTTAACAGGGTTTCAGGCTCCGTTCCCAGACTTACGTACTCCGTTCACTTACTCAGAACCTCTTGTGAGTCCGAACGTTCAGGTACCACCGCCCTGCCTATTTCTGCCGTGAAGCAGTAATGCGTTTCGCTTTGAAGGGTGGGGCAGCCGTTATAACTTAACTGAGACCTTAGAACTTATATCTCAAGGTGATTGGCGCATTTACGATATCTATGGGCTCCAGTAACCACTTAATATTTTTGTAATACTGAAATTCAAATAGATACACACTTTTTAAAAATAATTGAAATATTAATTAAATTTGTTTATATTGTAACTTGATCTCGTTCAAAGGTGTATATAGGAGATGCTTTCTAAATAACTTTTTACAACATTTAATTTCATAAAATAAAAATACATATTTTTTTTAAACTTATTAATTATTACAATCGGACTTATAGCATTACTTGGAACTCGTAATCCTCATATTCCCTTTCGTTTAATTAGATAAATTCTTTGATATCATAAAATATCAACAAATAGCATATAGAGTATGTAATAATGATGTTAAATCGTGCTCTGTGCGAAAGGGACAGAGAAAATCAGAATGAATGAGTGTCTAGTCGTAGAATATGTAAAAATGAATTGCAAAATAGCACCGGTATAATGTAATGTTAAGAATACTGTTAGATGGGTTTTTTTATAGCTTAGATGTGTGGACGAGCTCACAGCCCACCTGGTGTTAAGTGGTTACTGGAGCCCTATAGACATCTACAACGTAAATGCGCCACACACATTGAGATATAAGTTCTGAGGTCTCAGTATAGTCACAACGGCTGCCCCACCCTTCAAACCGAAACGCATTACTGCTTCACGGCAGAAATAGGCAGGGTGGTGGTACCTACTCGTTTGGACTCACAAGAGCTCCTACCACCAGTAATAAATTTTGTGTGACTCAATGACTATTTTTCTTTGTTGACAGAAATTATTAGACACAAATACGCTGGATATGAGAAACCAGGAGCACCGAATCCTGGTGCTCCAGATCGCCTTGAAGTGCGCCGACATTTCTAACCCGTGTCGGCCGTGGTCGGTCAGCCAGAAATGGAGCGTCAAGGTTTGTGAGGAATTCTTCCGTCAGGGAGACTACGAGAAGATGCTCGATCTACCTGTCACGCAACTATGCGACAGAGACTCAACGTCGATCCCCAAAATACAAACCGGTAATGATTGTGTTACGTTTAAAATTTTCGTAAACTCAACAATGTTTATTGAATACATTTCGTTTTGTTTTTTTTAAGGCTTCTTTAAATTTATCGTCACTCCCCTTATAACGGAGTGGAACCGATTCTTGGACAGCAAGCTGTCGAGTGAAATGCGAGCGAATCTCAATTACAACGAAGTGCAGTGGGAACTATTGATGACCGAAGAGGTGGGGAGAGAGACGAGGCTCACTATAAACGAAATGGAGCGAAGAGTCGAAACGCTGAAGCCGCTTTCGGACACTAGCTACAAAATACATTTGACAGTGTACCCGCGACGCGCTTCCGCTGATCCCGCTGGATCTGATGCAGCGACCGTTCTAGAACAAATGCAAAAGTCTCCAGTGACAGTCACTGAAGAATCCGGTAGAGGTTTAACAGAAGATGATCGCCAAGCGATAGCTCGTGCCCTCCCCGCTGACGGCAGTTCTGTAACGCAAAGATCAGAGCTGTCAGACCAGGATGCCACACCAACCACACCGGTATTCCTAAAGTGCTCCCTGAAAGGTAGGAAAGAAGTTTATTTATCGAAAAACCGGCCGGTCTTTATATACTTTCGACAACGATTCCTCCCATGCATATATCAAGCAAAACCTGTATGAGCATTTATTTAATATAACTACTGATGTCCCGGTAGTCGAAATTCGGCTATAATTAATTTAAATTATAGAACAATATTAAGGGTCTATTGTTAGAGAGACTACCATAGACATTTATAATAACAAATTTCGCCAAGGCTACACTATACATAAATAATTAATATTAAAGACAATTAAAGACAAACAATATGAATATATTCACAATTTGATTACAGCCTAAAAATAAACAAAAGAGTATAATCCATGTGTGCGTGTGTGGGCCAAATACATGATAGTGTATGTTAAATATTTTTTTAATTAATTTTATTTAATTTTATGAATAATTTAAAAAATAAATTAGATTCTGCACTCCCTTTTTCATACTCCGCCATCCGCGCAATTTTCGTAAGAAAAGGTACAAAAAATTTTACTTTACCTACCTACCTAACCTAGATGAATAATCAGTTTATAGGTATATATTATTAAAATATAGATTTAATATTGTTACTAGTTGACCCGGCGGATTTCGTAGTGCCTCAGTCGAGAAATAAAAGACCTGAACTTTTGTATAAAATAAACTTATAACAAACAAAAGGAATCCGTCCGACGGGGGACACATCAAAGAAAAAACAAAATTGTTATTTTTATTTAATTCCGAGCATTTTCATATTTATCCACCTTTTAAACCTTCTCTGGACTTCCACAAATAATTCAAGACCAAAATTAACCAAATCGGTCCAGCCGTTCTCGAGTTTTACGACCCGGCAACCTTCGATCAACAATACAACCGAAGCCGGCAAACGTTGTTTTGCCATATATAAGATTTCTAGGGAATTTCTAGTGTAGAAAAAAAACCTAACTTATTGTAAGTGTGTAAGGATGTGGTAAATGAGTGAAAGAGGCATGTAGCGCTGTGAACGATGAGGGAATATAAAAATAACAAACCTCATTCAACTACATAATGCCTCATTATAACAAAAAAAATGTCCAAAAAATAAAAAAATAAATGTTTGGGGTTGGACAACCCTTATCACTTAGGGGTATGAAAACTAGATAGTAGCCGATTCTCAGAACTACTGAACATGCATATAAAATTTCATAAAAATCCGTCAGACCGTTTCAGAGGATTATGGTAACTAATATTGTGACCCGAGAATTTTATATCTTCTTTTTCTCAACCTTACCCCACAAGGTGGGGTTGGTACAGCTAATTTTTCTCTTCCATGCTCTTCTATCAGCCGTTATCTCAACCCTCACTCCTCTCTCTCTCTCATATCGTCATTCACATACTCCATCCATGTCTTCTTTGGTAGACCTCTTCCTCCTCTACCACGAGAATTTTATATATAAGACTAGTTGTACACGCCCGCTTCGCTGGGCATTTCAAATTAAGATTATTATTTATTGTCATTATTATTAGGGGGTCCAACACTCATATAAATATTAGCCTATCCATTAAGTACATTTATTTTCTCCACGGATACCAAGTTTCAAGTCAATCAGATGCATGGTTCAGTAGTTATAACGGAACATCCGTAAAAACCACTGTAGATTTATATATTAGTATAGATTGTTATGTTTTAGTCACGAAAGGCAAGCAGAAGGAAGCGATCAGGTCTGACGACGACATGCTGCCGTCGAGGGAAACGCAGTCCCAACGGCGAGGCTCCGCCCCGGCGCCGATCTGCCCCACAGAACTGAGAGGCGGTCCGTCTCGTGCCCGCGACGCTGGCTCGCGGCGCCGCGCCAGCCCGGTCGGTACCTGCCAACAGTGGCTGGCCCGCGCCATGCCACGACGTAGTTCCTTACCCGTTGAGGTGATGACAGGTGCTTGATGGCTGCAAAGCTTTTTTTATTATTATTTTATTTTTTTCGCACAAAACCTTTTCCTCTTTTAGAATTTGAAATTTTTTTTCAGTAACCAACAACATGTAGAACATTTTGTAATTTGAATTATTTATTAGTAGTACTTAATACCATAGACCTATATAGTAGGGACACGACATATTGTTCTATACGTACAATTGCTTATATAAATAGCACCCATTTTGAAGGTACACACATAAACATATATCTATCTCGTTCTTACTCAGCACTTTAACTCGCAGGAAAACAATATAACAGTATTTCAGTGCGTACATAAAATGAAACATGAATATACGTAAATGTCTCCGTCTCCGTCTAATGAGGCCGAAAATCCGCCATGTTTAGCGCGCCAAATGTCATTGTCACGTCAGTTCGGCCGTCTGTTTTGGGTTGTACATTATTTATTGACTTTGATATCGATTTAATATGATTGCTTATATAAAATTTCTTATTTTATCATGCTTAAAACATACAAAAATAATAATTAAAACATATTTTATAGGATCTCAAGAAAGTCGATGCCCCAAAACTATTATCTATATATATTTAAATTCATTATGGAGCCCTCATCCGAAAAATCGGACACCATTTTTCGGTCGGAATCTATTGATCATGACACTAATCATAAATACCTCTTTAAAATATGTCATCAAAACATATTTAGACATTCTGTTTAGATATTTCGGGAAAAAGGCTACCGACAAAATCTCTTCGGAACTATTTAAATAAAATAGTTTTATTCCGCAGTGAGTAAAACACTATTGTAAATTTGTTAAATATTTAATAATTAAGTGATTTTAGAGAGGAAGTCACAAGGAATGACGTTTGTAATTAATGAATAAATGTTCTGTAGGTGTTTTTTTTTTCACGCGGTCCCTTGATAAGTTTAAAATTTGAATCACTCTCAAGCGAAAGTGATTCAAATGGTGCGGCGCACCTTCCTTGGGGTGCGCTGCGGTAGTATGTTACGGACTTTAGAGTCAGCAAAACAATTAAAATAGATTGTAATAGTCTAAGAAAAACACGTACTCAAAATACGATAACATTTAGCATGCTAGAAATGGGCTGATGGCTTTGAACTACGCCATATCTTTATGTTTTGCGACAAACGACAACTTTATAAAATCAGTGTAGCAACTTTTAAAAATCATCATATCGTTTACTTGGCAAATTCGAAGGACGAACTTGTCTTAGATTTCACCCATCTAAATCATATCATATTTGCACATAACAATATACCTACTTACTTCCCATTAAAGTATAAATTCTACAAATAAATAATACTCAACAATATTTAAAATAAAATGAGCCAAGAACGTTTATCGATAAAACCTGATAACATTGAAATCTTTTGTACAGCACTAAAGCCGCCATGTTTTGTGGCCAGATGACGTCACAGTGGCACGAAATTTTGGTTGACGTTTCATTTCCATAGGTTTCCTACTTCATTGCTTAATACTAATAGTTTTGTTTATATGATTTGAAATACCCTCTATTTTTTTTAATTTAATTATTGTCATCAATGTCGCTCAAGTTTTGCTCTCGGACTGTTAACAACAAGACGTTAAGTGATTCGTATGTTTTGAATGAAATAGTTTTCGATAATTTTACTGATCAGAAAATGACTTTCTTTAACGTGTTTTGTTGTTCGGTTTCATGCCACGTCTCGTTGTTAAACAGTCTCATTTTGAATACGCAAGTAACAATTCACCATTGCCGTTTACACGCTAACTAATTGATTTTATTTAGGTATATCCTCTCGATGAAGTGGGACCCTCAAAGTAAATGTGAGGGTTCGAAGGAGCAGGGTGTCTGAAGCACGAGCCCCCCCGAAAACTTTGGATGATGTTTCCCTGAGATTAAGTGTTCAAGAAAAAAAAAAAAAAAAACATTTTAGTTTAGTGAGATGGCAGTTATTAATCGTATGTGTTGTCTCCGGGTTTTTTTGTTGTTGTTGTTGTGGTTTTCTAGTTTTACGGACTTCGCTGATATAAATAGTTGGTGTTTAATATATTAATATACCGTATTGATATGAAACGATCGTTCAGTGTGTGTCAGGCTTTAAAGTACGTATTAAATTTTTCGTATTAATTCAATTCGTTAACTCGTTCATATTATACAAAATTAGCCACGAGTTGTTTATGGTTAAGGTCGTTGCAAATGCAGTGAGTATATAGTATGTATGTGTATATATAGCGTCTGCGCAAAATATATACGAAACTATTTTGAAGTAATTCTATTTATTATAATGTAAATAATATACTTAAAATGATATTTACAAATAATAATATATATTTGGGTGGTTATAATATATATTTGGATGGTTATAATATATATTTGGCTTGGTTTACTGAAAAGCCGAAAAAAAGAAAAGGTGACTCAGTTCTCCCAACCGTGAAAATTGAGCTCCCTAGTTACTTCACTTAATAAAATGGATAAGTATCTAAAATAATTGTACATTGTAAATATATGTATCTATATTTGTACATATCTTATAGGATTAGTATAAAAATAAACATGATATTTATATAAACCTATTAGACCCATATAAACATTTTTATTGATTAGTTGGCTGGCTTACGGCCCACTAGGTTTTAAGTGGTCACCGGAGCCAATAGACGTCAAAAACGAAAATGCCGCCGCCGAGCTCGAAAAAAGAGTTCTAAGTCTCAGTTATACAGTAACATCAGTTACCCCATCTTTCAAACCGAAACGCATTACTGCTTCACGGCAGAAATATGCAGGGTCGTGGTACCCACCCGTGCGGACTCACAAGACGTCCTCACCACCAGTGTATTAGTTATTAAAAAAAAATCGAATAAATAATTTGTTGCTTCTCAAATTTATTCACTTTAAAACCTGACAACATTGGAATTTAGATAAATGACAATTGTACATACTATTGATACAAATGTAATTATCTTATTGTAAACGCCTTAGTACAATTTTTTTTTTTTTTTATATAATAATATTGCCATAACTTCTCAAACTTTTATTCTTTATTAGTTCTTATTATTTTCAAGGTACACATTTTCAAAACCAAATATTAATGATTTTTAAAAATGAATTTATCACTAAGTGGTTTTTTTTTAAAGGGATAAGAGTCTCATTTTATTTGGATTTGTTTTAATTTGATTAGAAGTGCATACATGTAATGTTTTAAATTTATTTCATCTATGCGTAGTACGAAAAAGGAATCTGACCTCCTGACCCAAATTTTCGTCTCGAATTCTGCTTTGGACGTGGGAGAAGTCACACCACTGGAAATCGGCCGTCAACATTATGTGTCCGAATTGGAGAACTCTCTGGGGCGGAGTCTCCAAGTATTATTCAACATCAAACCAAAACGCATTACTGCTTCACGGCAGAAATAGGCAGGGTGGTGGCACCTACCCGCGCGGACTCACAAGAGGTCCCACCACCAGTAGAATAACACTAGTAAATAAGCAAATAAAAAAAATTGTGGGTTTTTTTTATTATATTTTTTACAAAGTATAGATTAGGTATTGCGTTCTGCTGTCGTCTCTGGGTCGGGGTTCCTAAATAGCTACTACTTCTTTGACTCCATACCAAAAAAGAGGTTTGGATTGTCGACATTCTCGTTCTCACTAAACGATTGGGACGTCAGACTCTCCGGAGGAATAGCGGCTCATTATGTTCCCTTAGAACGTATGTTCATTGGAAGTAACTTGAGGAGTTGTTGAAAATCTCTTTTTTACCATCGCACCGCCCGCCACCGGAGCAGAGCTCATCTGTACTACTTAGAACCATTGCGTTCATCCGCAATTCCTTTCTATAAAAATTTCAAATGAGATTCACGGAGAGTACATAGCAGTCGACAACGACTTGTGCCCCAGGCATTGCTGATGTCCATGGTCGACGGTAACCAATCACCATCGGGCCGTATGTACGTCTGCCTAAAAAGGCAATAAATAATAATGTGTATGAAATTCATTTGAACGTCAGGTAAGTGATGTCTTCTTTTGGAAATTGATAAAAAAAAACAAAAGAATTCAAAATATAATTACGTAAATCAGCGTTCCTTCGCTTGCGATGGGTTATGTGAACATATGACGGTAATATGAAGTTAATCCATACGTTGAAAAATATATGGACGCCATTGTTTATATTATATTTATATTTACTTGGAATAACGAGATATTTTCACATAAAATTTCCACTTACTGTATTTAACATGAAATTTACTGTTAAAATCAAAAACAAATATATAAAAAAATATTATTAAATTAAAAGATTTTAAAGAATTAACTTTAATGTTATAATGATTGTAATATACAATTGTCGAGAATAAAAAAAAAAAAAACATTAAAACTGCAATTAATTATTAATAAAGATTAATATTTGATTACTAGATAGACATCACTTGCCTTCGCGTTATTGAATAACTAGACACTTTAGCAACTGTCATTGCCAACTTATAAATATTAGGTTAAGATAACGCTTTTCGGCAACAGATTCTCAAGAAAACCTTATGTCTGCACAAATGGATCTAGCCAGGGTTTGTTGTCTACATTAGATCTACATAAAGACATTTGTTGCCGGGTCTTTTGCTATTTTATTTAAAAAAAAAAAACATTAGATGTAATTAACGATATTATTTTTTGCTACGTTCATGTGTAATATATTATTATATCGAATCTTAGTTGATAATATATTGTAATCGAAGTATATTTAAGATCTCATAAGGTGTAAAATTTTTAGCCGTTTCTCTAAACACGTGATCGTGTCGTTCCTTGGCAATTAAGTGTTTTTTTTTTTTTTTTGTAAATTATAATAAGGTAACTCCCGTTTGTACAGTGCTGGCCACTTGGATCCCACCATTCGTTAACACTAACAATAACTCTGTTACAAATCGAGCCCTTCAAATAAAAACGATGTAATTTTTAATTGAATAACAAAAGTGCACTTTAAGTTTTCTATGTGATAATCAAAATGCAGATAGATTTTATACGCAGTCATATTTGTTTCAAATGCGACCAACTCAGTTCACAATGGCCGCGATTCATGTTAGGTTGTCAATGGAATTCTTAATGGCTTAAAATCAGTTCGGCCTTGAATAATTTAATTTGCCCTATAGTAACGTTATTTGATCGACCTATACATATTAAAAAAAATTATAGGCTAATCAGCAAGGTTTGTAAATACGTCATTCGAATACATAGCATCGATCGCGATTATGAAGCAAGATGTCAATAGAGACGATTATCATATTAAATCTTAATTTTGATTGCAAATCGCTCGCGACTTGTTTAACAGTCATGCGTAGTAGTTGAAGTGAATTTAAATGTGTTCACAAGTGCCCTTGATTGACGATCTGTTAACAATTTAAAAACTCGGATGATGCTTGAGTCGCTTGAATGCAAGAAGCATTTGGCTCGATACAGACTGCTATAACACGAAACTCACGTATGTAGCCACGTAACGGATCTAGTTCGGCAGAAAAGACCCAATAGTTCAAAATTACGTTTCAAATATATTAAATTGTTTGTGCAAGACAAAACTTAACTAATTTTGCGTAGGTCGAAGTCCCAATTGTAATGTAATTACAGCTTGCTGGTCTTTAAACTGGAATAAAAGAATGCTTACCGACAGAGATGAGGATGGTCGCATCTAATTCTCAAAAACCGTTACCTTAATCGCCGCATGCACGCTAAAATTTCGATCATAGAAGTCGTTTGTGAAATAAAATAAATGTTGTGCTCTGAAATGTATTTACCGTCGAAGCGTGGTACATGCCTAAGGAATCACGTTATTTACTAAGTTACTAAACACGAAGAGACACAGCGGGAATCTTGCTTATTAGGCCACAGTAAAATCATAATCGAATTGAATACTGTGTTGGTTTAGTGAAGGATCAAGTCCTCTCTACCAAATTACGTCCCATTGTCATGTAGTTAAGACGAAACTGCGTACGATCGGGCGCGTGCTCATTCTCGCACGTTTGTACGGGCAACTTAGGACGGTAAAATGATATTGTTGACTGACAAGTGACGTCAGACGGACTGGTAGTGTTAGGTAAAATTCCTTGTGTCAGAGACCAACTGGAAAAGCGATCGAACGCAGTCGCGCTAAAGGCTGCGGAAAGGATACGTTATTTTAAAAATGGAAAGATTTTTCGATGGCGGCATTCGACGCGTTTTTAGACTCATGAAAGTCTGATGGTCGTCGCACTGAAAGTGCACTTTTAAACTTAACAGTAGGGTAGGGTTAGAGTCGTTAATGTATGCTCAATGTTTGTCGTCTATAATAACGATGTATCTATTTTGTAATTCAGATGACACTGTTTTTGTAAAGGCCGTGAGAGTTAGTGGTCTGTCTCTTCGGAGAAAAGATTCCTCCTAGGGATTTTATTAATATTTCACACAAAAGTAGAAAGATTGCCATAACATGGATGGGCATATTTTAATCATTAGTTAAATCAAAAAGGAATCGTATTCGGGAATATTGAGATTTTGTTGTATTTTTTTTTTCTGATTTGTTAATTGTAAAATTCGAAAAAAAATACACAGGTCACTCTCTCACGGCTTCGTTTCTCAAAACGAAGTCGATTTCCTCGCTGCGTTTATGATTTTCGAATTTCTCCTAGTAGGTATTTAGTTAGACTGTTCAATGCGAAACAGGGTGTGACATTTTGAAAGACTTTACACGATTCCGAGGAGGATTTCGTTTGGTGTTTAGTTCTCGAACGCAGCGCGGAGCCGACGTATAAATGGAGTGTTGTTAATTGAACGCTTTGTCAAATGGTCCATTTGCGAGGAAGAGACCTGAGTATCGAAACGACGGCTTCTCCGGAATGTTGGAACGTATCAGGTACCTGTTGGTTTCCCTATTTTAATTCATGATAGGCGACAGCTATATCCGCAACTGTGATGACTTTCCGCTTGTTAGGCTGCGCTAAAATGACTTATATAAGTCATATGCGCAGTCCTTCAAGACCTCTTTTCAGGAATAAATGTAGATAAAATACAATAATAAATTGCCCGTTAATCTCTCTGACTATGACTGCGTCACAAATTTACTTTTTTTTTTGTTAGTATAAGACTTAGGCAGAATGCTTGGGGAGTACAAAATGCTCTTAGCCGAAAAATGTGTTCGTTATAGATATATGGTAAAAAACCGGGTCGAACGTGTCGGGTGTAACTGTAGCAGTACT